CAAATGAATGGTCTAATGTCACAATTATCGAAATTGGAAAAAGAAGAACAAATGAGGCCTAAGGTCAGCAGAAGGAGGGACATAATAAAGATCAGAGAAGAAATAAATAAAATTGAGAAGAATAAAACAATAGCAAAAATCAAAGAAACCAAGAGCTGGTTCTTCGAGAAAATAAACAAAATAGATAAGCCTCTAGCCAGACTTATTAAGAGGAAAAGAGAATCAACACACATCAACAGAATCACAAACGAGAAAGGAAAAATCACGATGGACCCCACAGAAATATGAAGAATTATTAGAGAATACTATGAAAACCTATATGCTAACAAGCTGGGAAACCTAGGAGAAATGGACAACTTCCTAGAAAAATACAACCTTCCAAGACTGACCAAGGAAGAAACAGAAAATCTAAACAGACCAATTACCAGCAACGAAATTGGAGTGGTAATCAAAAAACTACCCAAGAACAAAACCCCCGGGCCAGATGGATTTACCTCAGAATTTTATCAGACATACAGAGAAGACATAATGCCCATTCTCCTTAAAGTTTTCCAAAAAGTAGAAGAGGAGGGAATATTCCCAAACTCATTCTATGAAGCCAACATCACCCTAATACCAAAACCGGGCAAAGACCCCACCAAAAAAACCAATACACACGCAAAAGAAAAACCAAGAGGACAGCTATGAAAAATACTAAGCTATAAATAAAAGTAAGAATATTCATCCTGCTAATTTAAAATACTTATATCTATATTTAAAATTTATGGCTCTTCATTTGCTGCCAGCACTAATTTTGCATGAATGGGAATTCTATTAGATAAAAAGAATGAAGATATGGAGACATTAGGGAGATAGTTATCAACCAAAAACTGATGAGAAATCACAATCAAGCAACCAAATTTCCAAACAGAGCTAGATCCAATTTAGGGAAAAAGGGGTTTTATGTTTCTACTTTTCAAAAATGAGCTATTTTAAGCAAACAGCAGTGCAACTAAAAATTATACCACTGATCATTTCCACTACCAAAAAAAATTTAAATAAGCATATAGATAATCTGAGAATTTCTGTTTCCATTAATGCAAGCAAGAAACTTCAGACCAGGCCTTTCCCTAAAGACATCAGCTTGGATGAAGTATTTAAAAAATCTTTTTAAAAGTGTCAATAGAGCTAAAAAGAAAAAACTTCAAAGGACTGAGAAATTAGTGAAAAATTATCAAGTTAAAATCAAAAAAGGAGTATCACAGAGATGATCCCAGCATTCAAGACCTATTTTGCCTTGAGAGGACTTACTGATCTGCAGAAGAAACAACTATGAAACTAAACTATACTTTTGGCAGCCTGGCAGGGCCTAGAGGTCAAAAGTTAAAAAGCCATGGAGGAGGGGATTTCAACTAGTACCCCCACATTAAGCAAGCATCCAGAGGAATATACTCTCAGGGCAAGGGTCAAGCTGAAGTAATCAGCACTCACAAAGACTTGCATCACCCACAAAGTTCAGGGAACCTCAAGCCTTAAAACTTGTAGTAGTGTGATCCCAGAATGACTAGAGTAAATTAAAGTTCTGTCTGATAATATACCCTCATCTCCAATATCAAACTGCATACAAAGTTAACCAGGAATTCAGACAAACAAAAGAGAAATATCTTGTGAAGTAAAAGAAATAAACCTAGAAAGACATGAAACACTGAAATGATCAGACATAGACTATAAAAACAGATTAACTTTTTACAGCAATGAAAGTGTTGAAAATATCTGCAATAAATAGAAGACTATAAAAAGCAATAATGCCAATTTGAAAAATAACCAAACAGGACTTTTAAAAGTGAAAAATAGAATAACCAATTAAAATCTCAGTGGACAGGCTTACCAGTGGATTCAACACTGCTGAAAAAAAATTAGTGAACTGGAAAATAGGTCAGAAGACTATATCCAGAACGAAGCACTGAGAGACAAAAGATAAAAAACGTAAGAGAGCAGCAACAGAGAAGTGACAGCACAAAGATCTAACATATATTTAATTGGAGTCTCAGAAGAGGGGAGAAGAAATATCTGAATAGACAATGCTGAGAAAATTCTGAAACTGATGAAAGATACCCACAAATCCAAGAAATCCAACAAACCCCAAGCACAATAAATAAAAAGACATCTACTCTTGGTTCATGGTAAAACTGCACAAAGACAAAAATAAAGAGAAAACTTTATTTCTGGAAGCTATTGGAATATTATCACCAATGTGGTGGTGGGAAGACTAGACACCTAGAATTTTTTACCAGTGAAAATATCCTTCACAATGAAGGAAGAATAAGGATACTTTCAGAGTAAAATTCAAGAGAGTTTGAAACCAGCAGATTCTACCAGAAATTATCAAGGATATACTTGAAGCTGAAAGAAAATGATCCCAGACAGAAGTATAAGATTTAGAAAAATATAAGGACCAAAACAGGGAGAGAAAATGTGGATAAATTTAAAGCGCAGTATAAAACAGCAATATTAATGTCTTGTGGAACTTAAAAAAAATAGAATTATATAGAATAGTGTGAAAGTTGTTTTAAGATTCCTTGTAATGTCTAGTAAGGTAAAAATTATTACTTACCATTAGATTTTAATAAGGATGCAAGTCATAATTTCCAAGCTAATCACTAAATGAAGAGAAACAGAGTCTACCTTCTAAACTAGTCAAGGAGAAAAATGAAATGTAGAAAACATTCAATCAATACAAAAGAAGCTCTTATTTTCAAGAACAGGAGTAGTACAGCATTTTACTAGCCTATTAAGATAATGCATAACTATATGAATCAGGACAAGTCTAAAAGGCCAGTGGACAGGTTAGGATTTTAAAGAAAATGTTTACAGTTAACAGAAGTCAGGCTAAGAAAATACTTTTAAGTAAAAAATTTCAAACACTACTTATAGGTGTATATAATACTATACATGTGAGTATGCTCTGAACACAGACAACATTAAGAATTAGTTTGGGACTCCCTTTTAAGCTACTGCTAAAGATGTATTTCTGTTAACAAGTCTAGATTAGGCATCTAAATGCCTACAAATGTAAAACAGAAGATTAACAAGTACCTTGTAGCTCTTCTTCCATCTCTTCTTCATCTTCACTAGAGGAAGCTAAGTAGGCTTGAAAATCCATGTCCAAAAGCTCTTCCTTCTTAAACTTCCTGTTGAGTATTGTGATTCTGTCATGATCAGTCTCATCCCAAGTAATCTCCACCTTTTACCAGTGAATAAGAAAAAAACAAGAGCAGAAATGTCAGCAACCTAACCTTCTTAAAAAATATTTATCACTAATGTGGATGTTTAATAAGCTAAAAAAGTTGATAGGCTCAAACAAATAATAAATGATATACTCAATGCTTAAAAAGTATTCTATTTGTGAAAAGGAACCCTTTCTATTAATCTGTATGTTCCTCCTAACTCTGCTATATGCAAGGTACTCCATCATTAGGAGTAAAAATTCATCAGTGTGTAGATGGTGGTGAAGAGAAATAAGAAAATGCTTAAGTGAAAAAGTTAACATTATTATAATCAGTGAAAACATGTCTTTCACTTTGAGTTCTGCATATTTCAAGAGCTCTACAAACTGTGTGATATCTGTTAATAAAGGTTTCAGTACAATCTCGGTAGGGTCCCTTTTCCAAAGATTAAAAGCCACTGATGAGAACAGCATCCACTGGTTGGGAATACAGTAAAGCCTGATGATCCAGGAATTCATCTATAATACGACTCGTCTGGTGACTGGCTCCTGTCCTCTATGCAGCCCTCATTCTCAGATAAGTTCCTGTTAGAGGTTTTATCTTCACTGTAGGGTGAGTCCTGCATCCATATTTTTTTCCTCAGGCCCATCTCTCCAGATCAGGACAATAATAAAGGCACCAGTTAGCCAAGGGATCCTTAAAATAGCTGCCATTGTCTTAGAAATTCCAGCTAGTCACAGGATCCAGAATTATCCCTATTTCCATAATTAAGCTGATAACCAAACAATGCTTCTGGAACTCGGACATATGTAGATGATAGAGCCAGACCCCAGGAACTCCAAAATGGCTGGCTAGACAGCTTGCCCTGGTCATTTTTCAGTCTTGAAAATAACATGACCTTATATTTTACGTGACTGAATCTTTTAGACTTCACCTATTGCATAATGGTGGGGTTTTACTACACTCAATAACTACTCAAGGCCACACAGTGCCCACTACAGCATGCAAGTGACAGATACAGCAGCTCTCTCTCCTGCCAACAGCCTGTCCTCAGAGGAGCATAGTGGTTCGTCACAGAAAGGTAGTGGGAAACCTGTGGGATTGCTGCAGAGTCCAGCTGTGGGCAGAAGGTTAATAAGAGAGGGAAGAGAAGAGAGATAGATGATAGGTGGCTAAGTAAGTAATTTAAAGAAATCTTTTGGCTGTTATTATTAACATTAATGTGACATTTAGTAGTACTGAATTAGTCTATTTCAATTGTTTTTACAATTTTGGATCACATATGTAGAAAAACATGTGTTTATGTTATATTTTAAATTTTCACTGGTTTTAACTGTGATTTGAGGTAATCTGTTAGCTCCTTCCTCCTACTCCCTAACATAGTTATAACTGACATATTACATATTAAAGAATCTAGGTGAATAAGAGTATATGGGAAAGATAGATGAGAAAAATGAAACATTTTCAGGTAATTGACTCAGGCTTAAAGGCGTAACAAAAATCTGAAAACAGGCTCAAACAGATGTGGTAGATTAAAACGCAAATATATTCATGTCTCATTTCTATTTGTGCTTGTGCATTAAAATTTTGAATACTTTCCATTTTTAAAGATGCCCTACAAATTTTTTTCTTAAAGCAATAGAGTCCAGCTACGCGTTTTTAAGCTAAGAAATACCGTTGATGTTCCCATTGCAGCAGATGTGAAATATTTTGGTTTATATGCTGTTAAATCTACTTCTGAGGCTACGTCCTTGGGCTCTTCATCAAAAGTAGTATCATCTGGTATAAACCTAAGAAACAAAGAAAAAATAAATTTATTTAAACACACGCTACAGTGATAAATTATAAGTTTAGATTCTCTTCTAATTAGCTGTAGTTTATATATATCATATCAAAATTTCTATAGAACACACATGTAGATGAGGCAAACAATGTTAGAAGTAATCTTGCACAAAATTTCTGAAATTTGTATGCTATAAATCTGTAATTAACTAAATCTGAGTGAACTCTGTATAGACAGAGGCCCTGTATTAGGAGTTAGTCAATATGAGGCAGGTGTAAACACACATGGGTCCCTCATGCTTCAAAAAGACCTAGACTCCTGATAGTGTGGTCACTGGCTTGTTACATGAAATTTTGAAGATCATAAAGAATTATTAATGGGTAAGTGTACTGAATAAAAAATATCATACACATGAGCTTTCACTGAGAATAAGTAAAAAGGTTTATTCTTCAAGACTAAAAAAAATCTTAGCAATATTATGTCACAACTTTAACTGTTAAATGTAAATTTACCACTGTAATTGTTTGACAATTCTTAGACATTATGCTAAGGAATAAGGGGTAAAAAAGCAAAGAGTTAAATAATCCACAATTAACACATGTAAGTTTTGTTATTTATATTGGAGATTTTGTTTCCACACACACCCAAAAACATATGCTATATAATCCATCAGAAATGACTTCTTGGGGGAGGAATGAATAAAGCTCATTAGGTCTACACAATATCCTACTCCAGTAATATTTTTACACAGACTTAGTAGAAGAAAAAAATAAATACCTGGGATCAATATTTTTAAATGTTATTAATATGCATGGTTTTACATTTTGGGGTGGATGAAAAAAGTCTTCCTTAAATAATTGGTTGGCAGCAGAAAACTCAATTTCTTTTCTGATAATATGTTTAACAAAATAAAATGGAATGTCCATGGTCATTGATCTTATTTTCTAGGCACTGCCAGAGCTTATTTTAACACTGCATGGAAATGTCCCAAAAAGGAAACAGGAAGAACAAAATGATCCTGAAAAGAACATGTTAATGTGAATTCACAATACCCAGAGTTTGTCACTCTAACAAATGTTCAGTCGCTGCTATTTAAACATTCAAAACAAGCACCTCTTACTGAAACTAACAGAAAAGAGAAAGAAATACTTACCTGATATGTCCTTCTTGCATAAGCACGCTAAAATTTTACCCCAAGTTTTCAAATGAAAATTTTTCATTTGTATTTTTCTATCAGTTGGAATGCCTTTGAAGTATAAAAGTCCCAATGACTATGAAATGATGCACTTTTTTCCCCAAATATTTCATTTTGAGACCAAAGCTTCTAACAAACCTGGACGCAAAGACATGACTTCTATTTCAAGTGTCACAGTAGAATGGTTTATTGAGTTCAAAAAGACTAGGCTAATGATAAAATGGTACATAAGTTCAGCTTCCCGTTTCCTTAGAACTGACATTCACAACCATCTAAGGTATTTCAGCTCTGGGTCAGCGCAGACTGAGCATGTGGTGAAATAATGACCAAGTCTGAAGACAATGCCAGTAACACTGGCCAGTCACTGAGCAGTATTTAGAGCAAACTTTCCACGATGATGGCAACGTTTTTCTATGTTCTCTGTGCAACATGTAACCATTAAGTACTTGAAATGTATCTAGTCACAAATTAATGAATTTGAAATTTTAAAAAATTAAGTAAATTAGTCAGATACGACTAGTGGTTACTGTATTCGACAGCACAGATCTATACGTACTGATTTATTAGCAAATTCTTTTGCTTCCACCTTAATGCTTTCTGAAAAGTCAGTTGATCTGGTTCCTAGTTCTAAAAGAGAACTGCAAAGAAGTATCATTACATATAACCCATCATCCTAAAAATACCAACACATTTGAAATTAAAGGAATTAAATATGAGGTGACTCAGACCTAATACTTTAGCAATTTTCTCATTCCAGTTTCCTTTCTTAAGAGTGATGTTCTACAGGACAAGTTCACCCCAAAGCAAAACATTTTCCTTTGTAATACTAAACAAAAGAGAACATTACAAATTTCAATATTTTACTTCTTATAATCATGTTGTGCTACAACATTAAATAGTAAGACACACAAGGATTACCTTAGATCTATGAAAGAACAACTACTTTCAAATTCCAGGCCATCACAATCCTCATAAATTTTACTGGCTGTTTCAGGAGAATCACAGTCTACTATTGCATAATAGTACTTCAGTCGTTTGAACTGATAATCTCTCAATTTTTCTCTAGAGGTCCTAAAAGGGGAAAAACTCATTAAGCTTACATATATAGGAACACATATACCCATTTTCTTTTTAAAAAAACAAATGTAATTGTTTCAAGAAAAATACATTATAACCTGGCCTTCATTCCTTCATGACTTTGTCTTTATGAACAGTAAATACCTAAGCTTAATTTATCATTTGACAAGGTCTAGAATAGGTATTTTGATTGGAATTTGGTATCTAGAAAAGGAGAATGTAAGTATTACATGTGCTTACCTATGATTTTAATTCTTAGAATAATTTGTTTTGCTATCACATAGAGCTTCCTCAAAACTGCTGGACAGGATCACTGTATTTTAATACATGCTAGGAAAGCATCAGTTTTAATTACAATGAAATTCCTGATCTTTAAAACTGTTTATACCAGATTCATGAGTTGTTGAGTCTAAATGGTTATAAGCTTATTTTCCCTTAACTATCACATAGTCTCTGAAGGTTTTTCAGTGGTTCTCTTTTGCCACCAATCTGACCACCATTTTTATAAAGTGCACATATAGCTCCACCTAGTGGTTTAAAAAAGATCCTAATTTTTTTCTGTATTGGTGATGATAAACTTATCATTCTTTTATTTTTGTTTGATCCTCAAATAAGAAAAATTCTACAATTTGAAATCAACCAGAATTTCAGTGCCACTTAGATGGAAAGCAACATCTCAGAGTAACAGCAATTTTTTGCTAATTTAGAGCAATGAGGCTGAGAACTCTAAATCAGTTCAATCATGAAATGTTTTTCAAAACTGCAGTAACTATTTCCATCAATATAGGAATATATTCACAAAATGTTGTTGGGCTAGTGTGGTACTTCTGACAGACTTTAACCTGCTTTGCAACCTATTTTAACTATGAATGGCACAGTATAAACTTTAGTACTAATTAACTATTAAAATAACCAGAATTCTCTGAATTAGTGACATGAACTTAGGAGGTTTAGTTTTATTTTCTATAGTGACTTAATACCAGTCCTTTTCAGGAGCATCTTCAGGAATACTTAATAACTCTACTGGTCCTTGAACTTGCTCTTCCTTCATCCTTTCCTTTCCAAATTCTGAAGGATATATCTAAATAGAAAAAAAAAAGGTCAATGTAATTTATATTTCCCTTCTCTTACAATATACAGACCTGCCAAGGTCATACATTCTTTAAGAGTAACAACTGGACTAAATGGAAACAGCAAGGATGACTCACTTCTAAACCTACTACAGGAAGCTAAAGCATGCTGAGAAATCGCATAAAAATAGTCATTTTTGCTGGGGAGAAAACAGGTTTGGAGCTTGGGAACAAAAATAAAGTATCTCCTCCACATATCAATTGGGACAAAATGGTTCTGGGATCCAAGGGAAAAATTAAGGAGGAAAACAAGATTCTAAACTGAAGGAAATCAATGTAAACACACAGATGAAAAATGACTAAATAGGTTACATGAAATATACAAATATGATTAAAGAAATATACAAAACATAAGTAATGAAGAAAAACAATTTTGTAATATCCAACTTATCTCTAAATCATATCATTTTTCCATGTCTTCCTTGAAAGAAATTATTTAAATAGAAAAAAAGTGATGATAATCTTATCACATAGATTAGATATAGTATTGGTATAAAAGGATTCAGCCTCAGCAGGATTTAGTATTTTTGAGAGTCAAGAAATACAACTACACTAGTTTGCATGGTTTTGATACTACAGGGCTTAATATAAATTTGTTAACTAATACAAATAATAATACTAATAATTAATTTTTTGAGTTGTGTACACTATGTAATTTATCAACTAGGGGACCCAAGTTTTTCTTACTAACTTGAGTTGCATATAATAGGTTCTAATGCAAAACTTTTAATTATATATGTAGTCACACCTATTGATTCTTTATGCCTTTTTTTCTAAGTCTGGAAACTTCTACTACCTGTTTCTTGAAACATGAGATTTAACAAAATCACAATTGTATTTTACTCTGTTTCTGTGGTTTGATTTTTCTTTCTTTACTTCATCTGGATTTTACCTGGGGTTATTATGAAGGGAAGATCTGAACTAAGTTCTCAGTACAAAGATATGTTCACTTGTCCCAATACTACGTATTTAAGAAGCTTATTTTGACCCCAATTATCATATTAAACTCTTTTATTCATCTATTCCATTCTATCAGTTTGTCTTCCTGTTTTTACCCAATCCTGTTAACTCTTGTAGCATTATAAAATGTTCAGATATTCTAACTGGAAGGGTGAATCTTTTTATACTGGTATGATTGCTCAAAATCTATTAATCATTCTATTTATGATCTTAAATGATTATTGGTATTTTCTTAACTTTCACCTGAATTGAGCTTTTGACTGAAACTACATTAAAACTGATTCTGATAGCACGTATCAGAATCAAGACTTAAATGCAGGTCTGTCATTCCGCAAAGCTTGGATTCTTAATCACTATGCTTGCTCTCTAGAAATATAGCATCTCAAAAGTTATTTAAGTTTTCCAAATTTATCAAACGTATGGTTAACTTCATACAGACCATGTGTGTTTAAAGCATTCCCAAGGATTTTATGTTTCTGCCCCTTGTAAAAAGAGAAGTTTTTTTTAACTGGTTAATACTGATAATGAAGAATGTAATTTTCAAAAAGATATTTGTCTTTTATCCTGTCCCTTTACTGAGCTCATATTATAAATGCTTTTCAATTGATTTCTTTGCATTTTTAAATTATAATCATTTAACTAATCAGTAATTTTATCTCTTCCTAAATTTTCTACCTGTTATGTCAGTTTCATGCCTAACTATAATGAACAATTTCCAGATTATTTTCCTCAAAAGTGATGACTTAAAAAGATTTAAAATGCTTAGAAATATTTACTTCAAAATGAAATCAATTCTCACCTTTACAGAAAATATCACACCTCCTTTAGGTTTAAATGAATTGAACAGAGCCAGCAAGTCTTTTGCCTTTAGTCTATCCCAGTCCATGTTGCAAACTGCTAATCGATGTGTAATCTAAGAAATGAGAAAAATTGAATATTATGTTATCTGTATGATTCCCAATGCTTGCAAAATAAAGATACTAAGAAATGTAATGCCTCTTTTCCTCCAAGTTCTGAAATCATCAATAAGTAGTTTCAGAATTTAAGAGTCACACAATGGTAAACCATCAATTTGTCAATAGATAATAAGCACTTTATCTTACTTGGATCTTAGTCCAAATCAGAACATGATGAGCTAATCTTTTAACTACTAAGTTTGTTAAGCAATTTTGCTACCCATGCAAGTGTAGGGAAGTTGAGAATGTTACCCTACAGCATTTCTAATAGGTGCAGTAGTTAAGTGAAATAAAAACTAGCTAAAGTAAGATTTTTCCAAAAATTTCATGTGATTTTTATTTATTTAATTATTCCTTATCTGCTTGGATATCTAATCTATATGGATATATTCCATTTCTAGATTTTTTTATCAGAATAAAAATCAAGAATATTATTTACCAAGAAAGAATTCCCACTTAATTTAATGACTATCGATCCTACCATCCATAAAACTACTTGTACTGTGCTCTTCACAAATAATCTTTAGTCAAAAGGTCACCTCATCAGCCCGAGGAGCATCTTTATCTAATTCTCTCCAAGCATGCTCAAATCCAGATTCCTCTGGCAGTAAATCTGCCATATCTTCTTCATCTTCAGAACTAGTTTCTATATTTCCTTTGCCCCTTGCAAGATCAGGGCCACTGTCACTTTCATCCTCCTCCTCACTATCCTCGTCTTCATACTCCTCCCCATCATTTTCATTTCCATCATCATCAGCAGTAGCTGAAGCTCCACAAGTGCTTATAATCCCATCTTCAGATTCTTCATCATCTTCTATTTCACTAGCACTTCCTGAATCTTCCTCCAGAGCATCTCTGTCAAACATTTTACCACCCAATGAGTTTTCATAATCATCATCCCTTATGAGTGGAACCACTGCAAAAAAAATTAAGGAGGGAGAAATTAAGAAAATACAAACAATGAATTAAGTGAATCCAACTTATTTTGACTTCAAATTCAGCACAAATAGAATTTCTGTGAAACAGATTAAAGGAAAATAGAAATCCAATAATACTCATGCTTAACCAAGTTATTTAATAGCGATCTTAACATATAAAAGATCATGTAAGTAGATTAATACATTCATTTGGTATTTACAGAGTACCGGCTGTATGCTAGGTGCTTAATATACAATTATTGGCCAAAGAGAAACAGTCAATACCCTCAATTAATTTCCAGTTGAGTGAAGAGGATAAATGGACAGATATTGATAAAATAAAATCAAATAAATACACATAAAAAAATGAAATTACAACTAGGACAAATGCCAAGAAGGAACATAAGATAATAGTATGAGAGCATATATTAGAGGGTCTCCAAGTGAATGATAACTGAATTGCTACTTGAAGGATGAAGAGGAATTAAGTAGTCAATGTTAGACTAACAGATGAGAGAAAGGTTCTGAACAGCAAACAGAGCATATGTAAAGATCCACAAATAGGAAGAAGTTGGCAAGGATGTCTGGATTGCAGATAACCAAGAGTCTAGTAAGAAATTAAACTGAAGAGCTTAGGTAAGGGCTACACTATCTAAAAACCATACGGAGGACTTATTTTGCCATAAAAGCAATGTTTTCCGAAAGAGGGACATCATATTTGCATACTGAGGTCACCTTGACTAAACTATAGAAAACTGACTGGAGGGAATTAAGAGTGGATGTGAATAGAGAATTAGAAAAGTAATGAGTACTCCTGACAAGAGATGAAGGCAGCACTAAGTTGGTGGCAGCAGAGGTATAGAGAAGTGGTGGAGCCATTTCTGACTTTCAAAGTCAGGAGGTAAAATCAATAGTAATTAATGACAAGGCTCAGTGTGGGGCATAGGAGTTTTAGAAGTGTTGAAGATGAGTTCTAGTGTCTTGACTTGCAGAGCTAGCTAGCTGGTCAGCTGGATAGATGGATAGATAACAGGCAATGATGGAACAGAACCAGTTTGTTTGTTTGGTGGAGGAAGATCATGAGTTCAGTTTTGGATATGATGAATTTGAAATGTCTTTGAATCAGTCTAAGAGGAGCTATCAAGGCCTATGGCTGTATGAGTCTACAGCTCAGAGTACAGGCTACAGATAAAGCTTATCCATGTATGTGTTGTGATAACATAAGCTGTAATGTGGATGTCACCTGTGAAGAGTGAAATTACAAGTTTCCTGCTAACCTTTGAACCTTGTAATTTATGGTTAGTAATATACAAAGAGTGAGAGTTTGTTTTCACCTAAATTGGATTTTTTTTAGCCCATTGAAAGGGCTCATTTCCTGTTCCTAAAGCAATTACATGCTTCTGTCTACTCTGTGTATGTGTGTGTGTGTGTGTATAGATATATCTTATCTTAGATGTTTTATTCATCTTTAAGTTGGATCGTATGTTTCTGCTCAGAGGCCCTAAGCTTGGAGAATTAAATATTTATTCACTGATCAAATATTTATTGAGTAGCTATTATGTAAAAATTATTGAGCTAGGTGAAGGGGAAATAGAGATGATTTGTAACATGATCCCATGCTCTTGATGGGTTTATAAACAAAAAGAAATCATTTAATGGTTTATGAAGCTATGTTCTAAAGCACCTCATAGAGAGAAACATTTAAATCTACCTGCAGGGAGGCATCTATAAAGGAAGGCTTCACAAAGATACCATTTGACGTGAGCCTAAAGTTTTGCTAGGAGAAAGTATAGAAAACACGTCACACATTTATTTCAGTTCCAAAGAGAGTGGGGAGTAATAAAAAATAACTAGCCAGGAGATATAAAAAAGCCCCCCAAAACCATACCCTTAAGTTTTGTGTATAGAATCATAAAAATACAAAAACAGCCTAAGAGAAGTTACTATGAGGTAAGCATCAGAATTCACGTTTTAGGAACATGCTCAGAAATAACACTTTGGGGACTTGGCTTGGAAACAGTTGCATTTCTCAAGCATCAGTTATTATCATATCACTTTCAAGATTTTTGCAAATCACCAGTATTTTTTGTTAAATTGAACATTTTAATAAAAAAATAATGAGGCTGAGAACTCTAAATCAGTTCAATCATGAAATGTTTTTCAAAACTGCAGTAACTATTTCCATCAATATAGGAATATATTCACAAAATGTTGTTGGGCTAGTGTGGTACTTCTGACAGACTTTAACCTGCTTTGCAACCTATTTTAACTATGAATGGCACAGTATAAACTTTAGTACTAATTAACTATTAAAATAACCAGAATTCTCTGAATTAGTGACATGAACTTAGGAGGTTTAGTTTTATTTTCTATAGTGACTTAATACCAGTCCTTTTCAGGAGCATCTTCAGGAATACTTAATAACTCTACTGGTCCTTGAACTTGCTCTTCCTTCATCCTTTCCTTTCCAAATTCTGAAGGATATATCTAAATAGAAAAAAAAAAGGTCAATGTAATTTATATTTCCCTTCTCTTACAATATACAGACCTGCCAAGGTCATACATTCTTTAAGAGTAACAACTGGACTAAATGGAAACAGCAAGGATGACTCACTTCTAAACCTACTACAGGAAGCTAAAGCATGCTGAGAAATCGCATAAAAATAGTCATTTTTGCTGGGGAGAAAACAGGTTTGGAGCTTGGGAACAAAAATAAAGTATCTCCTCCACATATCAATTGGGACAAAATGGTTCTGGGATCCAAGGGAAAAATTAAGGAGGAAAACAAGATTCTAAACTGAAGGAAATCAATGTAAACACACAGATGAAAAATGACTAAATAGGTTACATGAAATATACAAATATGATTAAAGAAATATACAAAACATAAGTAATGAAGAAAAACAATTTTGTAATATCCAACTTATCTCTAAATCATATCATTTTTCCATGTCTTCCTTGAAAGAAATTATTTAAATAGAAAAAAAGTGATGATAATCTTATCACATAGATTAGATATAGTATTGGTATAAAAGGATTCAGCCTCAGCAGGATTTAGTATTTTTGAGAGTCAAGAAATACAACTACACTAGTTTGCATGGTTTTGATACTACAGGGCTTAATATAAATTTGTTAACTAATACAAATAATAATACTAATAATTAATTTTTTGAGTTGTGTACACTATGTAATTTATCAACTAGGGGACCCAAGTTTTTCTTACTAACTTGAGTTGCATATAATAGGTTCTAATGCAAAACTTTTAATTATATATGTAGTCACACCTATTGATTCTTTATGCCTTTTTTTCTAAGTCTGGAAACTTCTACTACCTGTTTCTTGAAACATGAGATTTAACAAAATCACAATTGTATTTTACTCTGTTTCTGTGGTTTGATTTTTCTTTCTTTACTTCATCTGGATTTTACCTGGGGTTATTATGAAGGGAAGATCTGAACTAAGTTCTCAGTACAAAGATATGTTCACTTGTCCCAATACTACGTATTTAAGAAGCTTATTTTGACCCCAATTATCATATTAAACTCTTTTATTCATCTATTCCATTCTATCAGTTTGTCTTCCTGTTTTTACCCAATCCTGTTAACTCTTGTAGCATTATAAAATGTTCAGATATTCTAACTGGAAGGGTGAATCTTTTTATACTGGTATGATTGCTCAAAATCTATTAATCATTCTATTTATGATCTTAAATGATTATTGGTATTTTCTTAACTTTCACCTGAATTGAGCTTTTGACTGAAACTACATTAAAACTGATTCTGATAGCACGTATCAGAATCAAGACTTAAATGCAGGTCTGTCATTCCGCAAAGCTTGGATTCTTAATCACTATGCTTGCTCTCTAGAAATATAGCATCTCAAAAGTTATTTAAGTTTTCCAAATTTATCAAACGTATGGTTAACTTCATACAGACCATGTGTGTTTAAAGCATTCCCAAGGATTTTATGTTTCTGCCCCTTGTAAAAAGAGAAGTTTTTTTTAACTGGTTAATACTGATAATGAAGAATGTAATTTTCAAAAAGATATTTGTCTTTTATCCTGTCCCTTTACTGAGCTCATATTATAAATGCTTTTCAATTGATTTCTTTGCATTTTTAAATTATAATCATTTAACTAATCAGTAATTTTATCTCTTCCTAAATTTTCTACCTGTTATGTCAGTTTCATGCCTAACTATAATGAACAATTTCCAGATTATTTTCCTCAAAAGTGATGACTTAAAAAGATTTAAAATGCTTAGAAATATTTACTTCAAAATGAAATCAATTCTCACCTTTACAGAAAATATCACACCTCCTTTAGGTTTAAATGAATTGAACAGAGCCAGCAAGTCTTTTGCCTTTAGTCTATCCCAGTCCATGTTGCAAACTGCTAATCGATGTGTAATCTAAGAAATGAGAAAAATTGAATATTATGTTATCTGTATGATTCCCAATGCTTGCAAAATAAAGATACTAAGAAATGTAATGCCTCTTTTCCTCCAAGTTCTGAAATCATCAATAAGTAGTTTCAGAATTTAAGAGTCACACAATGGTAAACCATCAATTTGTCAATAGATAATAAGCACTTTATCTTACTTGGATCTTAGTCCAAATCAGAACATGATGAGCTAATCTTTTAACTACTAAGTTTGTTAAGCAATTTTGCTACCCATGCAAGTGTAGGGAAGTTGAGAATGTTACCCTACAGCATTTCTAATAGGTGCAGTAGTTAAGTGAAATAAAAACTAGCTAAAGTAAGATTTTTCCAAAAATTTCATGTGATTTTTATTTATTTAATTATTCCTTATCTGCTTGGATATCTAATCTATATGGATATATTCCATTTCTAGATTTTTTTATCAGAATAAAAATCAAGAATATTATTTACCAAGAAAGAATTCCCACTTAATTTAATGACTATCGATCCTACCATCCATAAAACTACTTGTACTGTGCTCTTCACAAATAATCTTTAGTCAAAAGGTCACCTCATCAGCCCGAGGAGCATCTTTATCTAATTCTCTCCAAGCATGCTCAAATCCAGATTCCTCTGGCAGTAAATCTGCCATATCTTCTTCATCTTCAGAACTAGTTTCTATATTTCCTTTGCCCCTTGCAAGATCAGGGCCACTGTCACTTTCATCCTCCTCCTCACTATCCTCGTCTTCATACTCCTCCCCATCATTTTCATTTCCATCATCATCAGCAGTAGCTGAAGCTCCACAAGTGCTTATAATCCCATCTTCAGATTCTTCATCATCTTCTATTTCACTAGCACTTCCTGAATCTTCCTCCAGAGCATCTCTGTCAAACATTTTACCACCCAATGAGTTTTCATAATCATCATCCCTTATGAGTGGAACCACTGCAAAAAAAATTAAGGAGGGAGAAATTAAGAAAATACAAACAATGAATTAAGTGAATCCAACTTATTTTGACTTCAAATTCAGCACAAATAGAATTTCTGTGAAACAGATTAAAGGAAAATAGAAATCCAATAATACTCATGCTTAACCAAGTTATTTAATAGCGATCTTAACATATAAAAGATCATGTAAGTAGATTAATACATTCATTTGGTATTTACAGAGTACCGGCTGTATGCTAGGTGCTTAATATACAATTATTGGCCAAAGAGAAACAGTCAATACCCTCAATTAATTTCCAGTTGAGTGAAGAGGATAAATGGACAGATATTGATAAAATAAAATCAAATAAATACACATAAAAAAATGAAATTACAACTAGGACAAATGCCAAGAAGGAACATAAGATAATAGTATGAGAGCATATATTAGAGGGTCTCCAAGTGAATGATAACTGAATTGCTACTTGAAGGATGAAGAGGAATTAAGTAGTCAATGTTAGACTAACAGATGAGAGAAAGGTTCTGAACAGCAAACAGAGCATATGTAAAGATCCACAAATAGGAAGAAGTTGGCAAGGATGTCTGGATTGCAGATAACCAAGAGTCTAGTAAGAAATTAAACTGAAGAGCTTAGGTAAGGGCTACACTATCTAAAAACCATACGGAGGACTTATTTTGCCATAAAAGCAATGTTTTCCGAAAGAGGGACATCATATTTGCATACTGAGGTCACCTTGACTAAACTATAGAAAACTGACTGGAGGGAATTAAGAGTGGATGTGAATAGAGAATTAGAAAAGTAATGAGTACTCCTGACAAGAGATGAAGGCAGCACTAAGTTGGTGGCAGCAGAGGTATAGAGAAGTGGTGGAGCCATTTCTGACTTTCAAAGTCAGGAGGTAAAATCAATAGTAATTAATGACAAGGCTCAGTGTGGGGCATAGGAGTTTTAGAAGTGTTGAAGATGAGTTCTAGTGTCTTGACTTGCAGAGCTAGCTAGCTGGTCAGCTGGATAGATGGATAGATAACAGGCAATGATGGAACAGAACCAGTTTGTTTGTTTGGTGGAGGAAGATCATGAGTTCAGTTTTGGATATGATGAATTTGAAATGTCTTTGAATCAGTCTAAGAGGAGCTATCAAGGCCTATGGCTGTATGAGTCTACAGCTCAGAGTACAGGCTACAGATAAAGCTTATCCATGTATGTGTTGTGATAACATAAGCTGTAATGTGGATGTCACCTGTGAAGAGTGAAATTACAAGTTTCCTGCTAACCTTTGAACCTTGTAATTTATGGTTAGTAATATACAAAGAGTGAGAGTTTGTTTTCACCTAAATTGGATTTTTTTTAGCCCATTGAAAGGGCTCATTTCCTGTTCCTAAAGCAATTACATGCTTCTGTCTACTCTGTGTATGTGTGTGTGTGTGTGTATAGATATATCTTATCTTAGATGTTTTATTCATCTTTAAGTTGGATCGTATGTTTCTGCTCAGAGGCCCTAAGCTTGGAGAATTAAATATTTATTCACTGATCAAATATTTATTGAGTAGCTATTATGTAAAAATTATTGAGCTAGGTGAAGGGGAAATAGAGATGATTTGTAACATGATCCCATGCTCTTGATGGGTTTATAAACAAAAAGAAATCATTTAATGGTTTATGAAGCTATGTTCTAAAGCACCTCATAGAGAGAAACATTTAAATCTACCTGCAGGGAGGCATCTATAAAGGAAGGCTTCACAAAGATACCATTTGACGTGAGCCTAAAGTTTTGCTAGGAGAAAGTATAGAAAACACGTCACACATTTATTTCAGTTCCAAAGAGAGTGGGGAGTAATAAAAAATAACTAGCCAGGAGATATAAAAAAGCCCCCCAAAACCATACCCTTAAGTTTTGTGTATAGAATCATAAAAATACAAAAACAGCCTAAGAGAAGTTACTATGAGGTAAGCATCAGAATTCACGTTTTAGGAACATGCTCAGAAATAACACTTTGGGGACTTGGCTTGGAAACAGTTGCATTTCTCAAGCATCAGTTATTATCATATCACTTTCAAGATTTTTGCAAATCACCAGTATTTTTTGTTAAATTGAACATTTTAATAAAAAAATTAGCTTTGAACAACATCCCTGAAGTCACAGATGTGATGTGGTGGTTATATTTTTTCCCAAGATGTTGAAATAGATACATACTAACATGAAAATAGCCTGAGTATCTTACCTATGATATCTTTTCACATATGACAATGGTACACATATCATACCTTGGGTTGTATAATAAACTGATACACAGGAGATTTAAGATCTAGCATTTTAATATTTTTGACATCAGTACATACAGCGTATTTATACCCTCAGTAAATATTTGCTCACAGCCTACCATGCACAAAGCCTTACGCTAGACAGGGGATTACCTCTATTCCTAGATGGCACTGCATTGCTCTCCTAGTGATAAACACTACTATTTATCCAGCTATTTAAAGAAATTCTTTATCATTTTCCTCCTGATTATAAAAGTAATGAATGCTCACTGAAAAAAAACCCTAAGAAAATATGGTTTAATGAAGAAGATAAAAATGACTAGTAATTTTTTTTCTATGAATTTGTTTTCTATGATATAGCCACTGACTTTTGAAGTAGTTAGTCATACCACTTGTGCTATTTTGCAACCTGTTTTTAAAACTTAATATATCATAGACACAATCAGATAAATCACAACTTATTTAATCAATTAATGATTTACGTTACCATTTAAAAAAAGTTTAAAAACAATGCTATATTGCACATTCTTTGAACACATGTCCAATTTCTTACTTAAAATAAGTTTTCAGGAGTTCAAGTGCTGGGCATCAACATTTTAAAATAACATATAATACCAAACTACCATCCTCACATCACCTTTACTTCATAAAACTTAAAAGTCCCTTGCACGGTCACTGGAATGAAAACTGATGAATGAATAATGGACAAAAGATGGTTATATAGGAGTAATGTAATTCCTACTCACAGACAGTGCCTTTTTCAAGACAGTGGAACCAATGTAAACTACAGCAAGCAAAAGGCAGGTGGAAAGATTCAAAGACTTGAGATGCAGGCCCAGCTCTGCATGCTCACATAAATAATTTTAACCTTGTTCCTGATTAAGTTTTTTTATTGAAAAAATAAAATAAAAAATAAAAGTATGTGAAAAGATTCTGTAAAGTCTATTCAAAGGATTATGTGGATGTTACAAATCCAGTGCCCTAAATGAGGTGCAGTTAAAGATGTGAGACTAACTTACCTCATAAACTCAGCATCAAACCAACGTTGCTGTTGTTCTCATTCTAATCATATTTGCCAATTTCAGTAATCAGACTCCTTTCCTTCTCCTTACACCTCAACTTGTTGCCTAGTTCCAAGCAAACAGAATGGGATTCCATCCTTGACTCCTGCTATCTAGAAATCTGGCCACTGCCTGATACCTCCTACCTTTCGAACGTTCTCAGCCTGTCAAGACCTCTCTCTGCCCTTTCCTAATGCCTACCCTCCTTTGGTCCTGTAATCACGGCCAGCCTTTGGCTCATAAGATCACCAATTTTCAGTTACAACACCATAATTAAGCAACATCAACTTAGAATTTCCTGCTGCCAAAGATGACAAAATTTTAATAACCTTGGTAAACATTTAAACATGAATTACAATCAGATGTTTTTTAATTCCAAACAACAGCATTTCTAGTTATATAATCCACTCACTCCTTCAGAGACATTATCTAATCAAATGGGAATACTGATTTCTTCTGGACATACTCAACCACATATTTGCTCAAAAGTTCTTTCCTGTAATATGCTCTGGTCCCCAAATTTAATTTTTCCAAACCCCAACCAAAACAGTGCTTCACCTATGCATTTTTCTCTAATTACCATATTGAGTGACTTTTCCTATGAATTCTCAGTGCCTTCTGCTACACATCTTTTATGGCACTTACAATTACTCCACTTTGTATTGTGGTCCTAGTATCTTCCACTTTAGGTCTGTGCTAATATGGTAGCCAGCAGCCACATTTGACAATTGAGTTCACCCGTATTTGAAATGTGGTTCATTCATATTTCATAGTTGAGATTAGTATGAAGATAGAATGCAAAATATCCCATGAAGTTTCTCATATTGATTACATACTGAAATAATTTTTTGATATACTGGGTTAAAATATATTCATAAAATTAATTTCACCTAGGGAGGAACCAAGATGGCGGCATGAGTAGGACAGCAGAAATCTCCTCCCAAAAACATATACATTTTTGAAAATACAACAAATACAACTATTCCTAAACATCTGCAAGAACCCAGCACCTTGCGAAGGGGATAAGATACAAGCAGTGGCCAGGCGGGACCCGAGCGCCCCTCACCCCAGCTCCCCGGCGGGAGGAGAGGAGTCAGAGCAGGGAGGGAGAGGGAGCCCAGGACTGCTAAATACCCAGCCCTAGCCATCCACATTGGGAGCACACACAGTGCGTGGTGTGGTGGATACTAGGGAAACGGAACAGTAAAACCTGTGAGCGGGTTCCCACAGCCGGCGCCCCTGGGACAGAAGAAAAGTGAGTGCTTTTTGAAAGTCTTAAAGGGACAGGGGCCTCACAGCTGGACGGAAGTGTCCCGGCCCACTCAGCCCAGCAGCTGGGAATCCCAGGGAACTCCAAGTGCCTTAAACCCCTGGGCAGCAAGGCAGCTCTAAGGCCCCTCACGGCGATAAACAGCCTCCCACCCGTCCCCCTCCAGTGTGGCCCTGCCGTAACAGGGCAGCAGCCTGAAAGGGGACATGCCCACAGCAACCATGTGGAGCTTACTCCACAGCAGCTGGTCAAGAATGAGAATCCCCGTCTGCACGCAGCTGCCCAGCACAAGCCGCTAGGGGTCACCGTTCTCCCAAGAGAGGAACGCGAAGAGAAAGCAGGAAGGGACTTTGTTCTCCCAGCTGACACACGTGCAAACTGCCCATTGCTATGAAAAGGCAGA